CAAGGTAGGAGACAGGCGGTGGCATCCAAGGGACCAGGGGAGACTGACACTAGGGAGGCGGGGACAGCTGGTCACCCAGCACCCTGGCGCCCAGTCTGCACTGGAGGAAAAGCCAGGGGCAAAAAAAGAGGCGAGACTTCTGGGTCCTCAGAAAAGGAGTGGGGGGAGGACAAAACACAAGGCAGCAGAAAATAGGTGTGAACTGCATGCGTACTGTGGAAAGGGCCCTTCAGGGTAGAAGCTCCCAGCTGGGAGGGCATGGGGGGTGGCTGTGAGCACAGCCTGTTTTGCAGTACTAGGTACTGAACCCAGCTCTCTTGCATGCTAGGCAAGCGCTAGCACTGAGCTGTCTACTCCCTTTTGTTTTGTTTTCCTTTTGGGAGGGGGTAGGGTTTCACTGTGTAGCCCAGGCTGGCCTCAAACCAATGGAGAGCCTCCTGCCTCAGCCTCCTGAGTGTAGGGATCGCACGTGTGCACTACCAGGCCCACCTGGCTGTTTTGTTTTGTTTTCAAAACGGTTACACTGTGTAGCTCAGGCTGGCTTTGAACTCAGGATCCTTCTGCCTGAGCCTCCCTAGTGTTGGGTGTGCACCCTACTCCAGCCCTTTTTAAAATTTAAAGTTTTCATTTTGGGGGAGGGAACAGAATCTCGCAGAGTAGTTCAGGCTGCTCTTGAACTCACTATGTGTCCAAGGTGCTCCTCCTGCCTCAGCCTCCTGAGTGGCTGGAATCACAGGTGTGTATCACTATACCCAGTCAGTGGCCATGGGCTGTGGTGTACATAGATCAGTGGTAGGGCACTTGCGCAGTATACCTGAGGCTCTGGGTTCAGTACCTGGCAGCAGGGCGTGGTGGCTCACACCTGGAATCCCAGCCCTCTGGAGGCTGAGGCAGGAGGATCACTGCCAGTGAAAGGCCAGCCTGAGCTATACAGAGAGTTCAAGACAAGCCTGGAGTATATAGCGGTAGACTCTGTTTCAAAAATCAAACCAAACCATAAATAAATAAGGGCCCATGAAGCCTCCCCCTGATCCCAGGGCACCCCAGAAGGAGCAGAAGCGAGAAGGCAGGGGAGAGATCCCCAGGGAAGGGCATTTGGGTGGGCATCGCAGCAGAGGCAGGCAGTGCTCGCACCTACGCCCCACACGAACCCTCACACGGCAGTGCAACCACTGTCCCACCTTACAGATGCGGAATCTGAGGTCAGGGAGGGCCCGGCCCACTCGGTGTCACGGCAGCTGGTGTCCACCAGTGGCTCTGGCCGGCCAGGGTTCCTGCAGGCATCTCAGCACCCGCGCGGAGAAGGCTCAGTACCAGATTGAGTGGACGATGGAGCTCGCTGAGAGGTTTGCAAGGCAACTGCGCCACCCCCACCCGCTCTGTCACAGCACATCGGGTAAACTGAGGCCCAGAGAAGCTTTGGTGGCTCACCCATCCCCCTTGGGCCTGGATCCAGGGTGTGAAGCTGTGCACGTGCTCCACGCTGAGTCCGGCCAGGGCGCCCCCCAGCCGGGCCACG